GGTTAACCAGTTAGTAGTCAGAAGAGAGAAACAAAAAAACAAAACTAGTTTCCTTTGCTTCATCTTCTATTTCTTCTACCTATCCTGTATCCAAGGAAACATCTTCTTAAATATTTAAGTAGAAATTTTTGAAAAGAGAATCATATTAATACCTTCTAGGGAATAAAGAAATGATTGTAAGCATTGTTACACCACACCAGAAGTTAAGAGAGAAATCTCAAAGTACAAATGCATTTGAGCTAATGCTGTGATGTTTGCAGGTAAAACTATCAGAAGGCTGGTAGTAGAAATGTTTCCATGCCTCATGATCTACTAGCTGCACTGTGGAAAGGGGAGAAGCAGTACGCAAAAAATTAGAAGAGGGGTCTGTTAGAAACCCATTCAGTCCTGCTGCTACTGCCTCCCTCTTTTACAAAGGAGTTGAATTGTTGTAACCAGAATCTATCTTTGTAAATAAAAGTAGTGCCACCATTAATGGGAAAACAAATATATACTGAGTGACTGCTGTGTGTGAGACACCAGCATGCATATAATGCTTATGCTATAAAAAGACACCTACTGAGGAACTTCAGTAATGAGCTGCTATTGAAGTTACAGATGTATCTGAGTTTTAAAAAGCAGGTATCCATAGCCTCATCTCTGAATCCTCATTGTCTTTGAGCAAGCTTCCTGTAATATGCCGGAATAAAGATCAGCATGAAAGGAAAACTCGAAGCCATAATTAATTAATGGCTTAATCAATTCACTTGTATTTATCAAGCCCCTGCTAAGTGCTCACCATTGAGACTACAAAGATGATGGAATAGTCTCTAACTTCCTATATTCCTAATTTCCTTAAGAAATGTACAGAAGAGTGAGAGAGACCCACAGAAAACTGATAGCTATAATTATTAGGATGACAACAGGGAAATATTGCTAAGAATGTAGAGTGTTTTGGAGGCAAAAGAGGTTTGAAGCCTAGACAGGGAGGAAGTCAATGACATATTCCACAAGACAAGACATCCTAGTTGATTCCTAAAGTGAAAGTAAGTTAGCTAAGTGAAGACACAGCTAAAATACGCTGAAGAGCTGAAGTAATCTTCAGCAAAAAGAACAAATCTTGAGGCATCGCTCTACCCAATCTCAATCTCTACTAAAAAGCTCTAGTAATCAAGGCAACATAGTAACCGGCATAAGAACAGACACACAGATGAGTGGGTTAAAACAGAAGGCCTAGATATAAGTCCAACATTTGTGATCGACTAGTCTTTGACAAAAGCACCAAGAGCACTAAATGGGTAAAGAACAGCGTATCAGAATACCTGAGGGAAGCCAGGAGACAAAGTCCAAGGCAAACGCAAAGAAAGGAGCACCTCCAAAGAGAACAGCCCAAGCTCCTCCTAGGAAAATCAGCCAGAAGGAAGCTCTTCCAGGAAAATTGGCTAAATCTTTCCCTCCTTTTCTCCTTCACTGTTTTGACAACAATCCTTCTTAAAGTGGGTCCTCCACATCCAGAGCCATGCTGACTCTGGGAGTTCCCACTCAACCTGACAATCCATTAACCACCACAATCTCCTCAACAATGTTAGGTTAATTAAATATCCACATGAAGAAGAATGAAATTGGACTTTTATTAATCCAAAATGTATTGAAGATTTAAAACATAGGACCTGAAATTATAAAACTATTTGAAGAACATATGAACATATGTTTAGCTACTTCTGGGCATATAGCTAAAGGAAGTGAAATTTGAGTCTCAAAGAGGCATCCATACAAAGGGGTTGTACCCATGGCCGTACTAGTCACAACTACCAAGATATGAGATCAACATAAGTGTCTATCAGTGAATTATTTAAAAAATGAATACATACATACAAATGTATAAATGCAATGAAGTACAATTTGTCCTCAAAGGAAATACTGTCATTTGTGGCAACATGAAACTGGAGGACATTCTGGAAAATAAAATAAGCCAGGCAGAGAAAGACAAACATGCACGATCTTGTTTACATATGGAATCTACAAAAGGTGAAATCAGAAAAGTAGAGAATGGTGTTTACCCAGAGGCGGTGGTAGGATGAACAGAAAGATATTGATCAAAGTACGTAAAGTTTCAAGTGGAAAGAACAAGTCGCAGAGAGCTATGGTGAGGCATGGTGACTAAACAATAATGAATTGTATACTGAAATGTGAAGAGAGTAGATCTTATGTATCCTCCCAACACAATCTTCCATCTGTAAGGTGATGAATATGTTAATTTGCTTCATTTAATCATTTTGCCATAAATACATACCACAATATTGTGCCGTTTATCAAAAAAAATTTTAATTTGTCAGGTATATCGTAAACCTGGAAGGAAACACACGCACACATGCAAGTGTGGCTTCTTGGCGGTCTGCTCCCTGTCTGCTTGTTGTTAAGGATTCTGACTTCTGGCAGAGTAGGAAGTTCCCTGCTGCAGATCTACATCGCCTTTGGATTGGAAACCACACCTTGGCACCACTCATGTTTCTCCTTCTCTCTACCTCCCCCATGTCTGCCCCTAGGCACCAGCACTCACTGTGCCATGCCCTATTGAGGAACATCTCTGCAGCAGTGGGATGAGGCAGCAGGAGCACCCCAGAAGAAGGTGAGGAAGGTGTAGATGTAGGGAAGTGGTAGCAGGCAGGCAGCAGTGCCCGCTCATGTCTGAATGACAAATACCCTTTCCCCTCCCGAAGAGAAGAACACCTTTCTCTAGATGTTGACAACTTGTTACCTAAAGCTATGCAGAAGAAAGCCATACAGGGTTAGGGATGTATAACTCAGTGGTGCTGCACCTTCCTGGCAAAGACAGGGTTCTGAGTTCGATCCCTGGTTCCACGAGAGAGAGAGAGAGAGAGAGAGAGAGAGAGAGAGAGAGAACTTTTCAAGTAGACCCTTCAATGTTAAAGCAGAAGTAAGAAAAGTACAAGTTGTTATCTATGCTCTGGTTTTCAAATGTAGGCAGAGTGGTCAAGACAGGCTACCCAAAGTCAGGCTCAGGAAATATCCACAGCCACAAGCATGAGGCACCTACAGCAGAGCATCCCAGAAGTCTAAACTTCCTCAGCCAGCTTCTAGGGCAGAGCACAATTGCTAGTTCACACACTACTTAACTAACTGGATTTTCTCTCTCCTGTTTTGCAGGGGTTACCCTTATAATTGGCTTCACATAATAATTCTACTTTATAATTCTATAGTTTTTTTATGCTCAGTCATTGCTGTTTTCCCCTGCTTAGATTGTGAGCTCTCTTAGGGGAAGAAACTGAATCTATATTTTCTTACCCCACATCTCACTTTCCACTTCATTGTTTGTTGTGTCACTTTCTCCCTGTGTGTTATTGTTTTCTGTCACCAATTCTGACCCTGAAAGTTCACCTTGGTGTCTGTTATGGTTTGGATTAGAAAGCCACCAAAGATCCATGAGTCAGAGGTTTGGTCACCAGCCTGTGGTAGTACTGAGAGGTAGTGGAACATTTAGTGGGTAGAAACTAAGAGGAAGTTGGTCACTGGGGTATGCACTTGAACGCGTGGTGATGACTCTGGTCCTTCTTTCTCTTTCTCTACTTCCCACCCACCACAAGACAAGCAGCTTTGCTCTATCACATGCTACCCATCATGGTTCTCTGCCTCAACATAGTCCCCAAAAGAATGGGGTCAATGACCATGGACTGAAGCTTCCGAAATTGTGAGCCAAAGTAATCATTTTCTCCAAGAGTTCCATCTGTCCGAGGGATCTCATCTCAACAACAGCAGTCTGATTTACACAGTCACTTAACCAGATATCCTAGGGTTATTTAAATGGGACCATGACTGCAAAAGTCTTCTGTTTGATCTCATCTTGCCCTGAGGACATGCATATTTGTATAATTTTTTTTTTTTGGCCTTTCCAGCAAAGGACTATGTGTGTATGCACACACGAGTGGTTTTTTTACTCTATTTGCTCATTAAGATCTTTAAAGACAATCCTAACAAGAGATTGTGATTATACTTGTGCCCCAAAGTACCCAGCACCTAATACCTAGGAGGTACTTACACAATGTTTGCTAAATAAGTGCTTAATAATTCTATAGTGACAAAGAATATGATGTGAGCAAGCATTCCTGAAACATGGAATAATTCAGAACTGGATTTTAAAAATAATTATAGAGCTATAAACTACAAATCACAATATGTGCACCATGTTGAACATATAGAATCAGGGAATGTCCATTTTTGAGTAAAGGACAGCTAATATAGCCAGCCTGTTTCCTTCTGTGTGAAACACACACACACACACGGCTCATACAGAAATATTTAGCCAACTGCAGTGCACTTAGAGATAAAGATAGATGAAGTAAGCATTCACTGCAATTTATCCTCTCTGGTAAATGAGGAGAGAGGCACTGTTACCTATGAGTTCAGTCATGTAAGTGGCCACTGCAGGCATGATTTGGGTTTCCTACATAAGCAGGAGTGAACAGATTTTCATATATAAAAAATAAGTAACTTTTCCCCAGCTATCCCAGTCTAGGGAAAATTCAACAGAAATATTGCAGAGGCTCCCACACAATCCATTCCCTGAAGGTATGAGCTCTTTGAACAATTTGAGAACATAGTATAAACTGGAAACAGGCTGATGGATGGAAATGTAAATATGAAACTTTAATGAGGGCTCTTCCTTCTCACCTAAAAGGCGATGATAAATATTTCATGCCTTGCTCTACAGGGCATCGGTGCCTGGTACCATTAGTGAGATATTCCTCGTCTTCTCCAAAAAGGTAACACCGATTTGTGATATTTCATAACACTCAAATTTAGACCAGCTCCTCTACTGCATGCGATGAATATTCAAACATCCAAGGTCAAAACCAACACAGAACGATGTATTTTATCCTTTGCTCTGTTTTTGCCATGTTAGAACAAACCTTTAATTAAAAAAAGATATGTAGATGAGGGGGAAATTTTTTTTCTTTGTTTTGGTTGTATGGGTTACAAATTAATTGAAATTTTTCACTCACTTTCCATCCAACGTTTTTGGAAACCCATTTTCATTGTAGTTGGATACTTTGGACACACTGACTCCTTCAAGCCCAGGACACAGCAGGCGTCAACTGCAGGAAGAAGGTGATTCAGCAGGATCAAACCTAGAAATAAAAACAAAATACCAGGAGCTCACAGAAGAGTCCATGCTAAGCAAGTAAACTCTGACAAGGATTTACCTGGGCAAGAAGAAGATAAATTTCAAAATGGCTAGGTTGGGAAAGGGGCTTTGGAGACAAAAATGAGAACAGTGGACATGTTAAATACTAAGTCGGGCTTAACTAAAACATCCAATTCTGAAAGGCAAGACCAAAGAGCAAGTAGTTCCATATCAGGAAGGTGGAGAGGGCACAGCATAAACTGGGAACAGGCTTCAGCCAGCTCACTGTCTGCAAGAGGATTCAATGACTTTCAGGGAACTGAGAATCCATGGAAACCCAAGGCATTCGAGGTAAGTGTTCTGTGGTTTCTACAAGTGTGCTTCATAGGACCTGAAGACAATGGGATTACATTTAGAAGCAATTAGCAAATTTGTGAAACACACAAGTCCAGGTGTATGATCTCAGGAAATTTATCTACCTTTAAAATTTGGT